GTGTGTGTGTGTGTGTGTGTGTGTGTGTGTGTGTGTGTGCGTGTCTTCACTGTTGTAGCCATTGCCTCCAGCTCTAGGCCACACTTTCTCTTACCACAAACCTGCTGTATGACTCTTCAGACACATCTATTTTCCAACCATTGTTTCCTTCCTTCCTCCCTCTCTCCCTGCTTTCCTTCCCTCCTTCTTTCCTTTCTTCCACTGTGTGGATGGTATCCGTCCTTCTCCCCTCTTTCTGCACGCCCCTCCGTTCACCCCTCCCCAACAGCTTCACCTCTCTCCACTAATCTACCACCCATCTCTCTCTTTTAAATTAACATGCAACATGAAAAAAATGGGACGACAGCAGGAAAAAAAAAATTAAATGCATTTAATAAATGGCTGACTTCAAATCGCCCGGCTTTTCAGACTCTCCCTATTCACAGTCCAATGAAAGGGGAGAAATCATTCACCGGGAGAGACAAAGCCGAATGAAAATATAATTCTGCATTGTGAGGCGCTTTTGTCCTGGCCCGTCAAATCGCTAATGGCGAGGCTTTTGTTTTGTGGCGGCGCTCTCAGGCTGGCGGTGTCGTATGGCGGTGGCAACGCATGCCCCATAATCACCACGCTTTGTGATATTAGATTATAGGGGCAATTAATGGCGTCAAACCTTAACTACTCAGCATTCAGCCTGCCACACACACACACAAACACACACACACACTCTCAGCCTTAAACCCATGTACATGTGCACGTTCACACACCCACATGCACACACACGCACACATAGAGTACAGTATATCAACACTTGCACACATGCATGTGCATTTGGCTCTGGCGTCGGAGCGTCAGCCAACACACAGAAAGGTGCTATAACTCCAGTAATTATTACGCCTGTGACTTGAAAATGTCAATGGCGGTGTGTATAAAATAGAATGTATGAGTTGTCAGGGAGGAAGAATGGGATGCACAAGAGCAATTAATTACAGCTTTTCATTTGGCAGCTTAGACTGACAAGGCCTGGCGGCGGGGGCAAGCTGGCATGACGCCAAGCGGCACCCATCACCACCCCCACCTTACTCACAAGCCCACCCCACCTCCCCAGTCCCCTCTGCGTGTTCCTTTACCGACTGCCACAACACCACCCTTCCCCTCGCTCACCCCACTCTGACTCTGTCTTTTCTTCTGCTTTTTCTCTCTCCCTCACCCCTAGCACGCACGCACACTCTCACACGCACTGCCGCTCATTCATCTGCATACCCCAACACACCCGTCTTCCACTTTCCATGACCCAGCCTGGCCCTCTTTTCTGGGGTCTCTCTGGCCCTTCACCGTTACATGTAGCTGGGAGTGTGTTTAGTTAGGGAAGTCTGCTTTGATAAAAGAGTCCAGGGTCACTCACAGACACGCATAAAGAAAAGGAGACAGAGGAGGATGGGAGGGGGGGAGGCAGGAGGAGGGGACAGAGGCCAGGTGGTAAAGAGGGTGTTAGTATTTATGGCCAATCTTGTTTACAAAGTCAAATCAGCTCTTTACAGATTTAATTTACCAGTGACAGCTTGTCCCCTCTCCTGCTCTCTACCGCACGATTCCCATCACCCTCCCTGCCTGCCTGCCATCCCCTCAGGTGGTGAGTAGATAGACTGCTCCGAAGAGAGCTGCACACACTGGCACTTGTGCACACCCACACATGCACACACACACACACACACACACACACACACACACACACACACACACACACACACACAAACACACACACAGACACACACACTCACAGTTAGACACGACAGAGTGAATGTAGATAAATGGACAATTTCAGAGGTGATAACTCATCCTTGTATTTCTCAGTAAAACAGCCATTACTTCTTAACAGACAGGATTATTTGTATTGAGAAGGCAGTATAGTTTATTATTGTGAAGGCAGTGAAAGAGGAAGCAGCCATCCTCCTCTCCCTAAATGTTTCTCAAATCCTCTATCTCCTTATCCCCCTCATTTTTTCTCTCTCAACCCCTTAATTCAGTTAATGAATATAAGTACTTTGTCGGCAGGTTTGTCGGTGTGTTTTTTCATATATCGTGCCTGCATTTATGCATGTGCGTGAGTGTCCCGCTTTTTGATTCATGTGGTTATTTTGTCTTCACTTTGCAGTGTTTGTAATCAGATTAGCATCTCTGCCCATCTCTGTGTACAATGCATGTCCATTAAGAGTGCTTGCACAACAAATCTGCAAGAATCACCACATTTCTCTCGCCGTCCTCTCTCTCTCTCTCTCTCTCTCTCTCTCTCTCTCTCTCTCTCTCTCTCTCTTCCTCTCTCTCTGCATACTCTCTCTCTCTCTCTCTCGTCTTTGCCTGCCTGTAGCCGTATCTGATGAGATAGACATCTCATCAGATAGCCACTTTGTTGTTCCTTTCTTCTTAGCCAGGCTTGACTGTGTGGAAAGAAAATCGGAGGGAGTCCTAATCATGTGTTTATGGAAGCAGATAAGATTTTATATTTTGTGGGGGGATTGCATATCTGTCCCTTTATCTCTGCCTGTTGTTACAGAAATTGTGAGTTTTTTTTTTTTTTTCTCCACAATACCAGCCTTGTGTAGGAAATTGTCAACAATATGTGTGCGCTTTGGTGTGACTGTCTGTTGATCTTTGTCTGATGTTGCCAGCTTTTCTTAGCAGTGACTGACAGCAGAGAAGAAGAGACAACACACCTCTCTAACTTTACCTGTCCATACCAGCAGACTGTGCAACCTCCATTCAGATTGTTTGTTTTGAGTTGAGCATTCAGTTGCAGGCACAGTCATGCTTCGAGCTCGCTGTGTTGGTCGGGCCCTTTTCACACAAAGCCTAGCCCAGTGATTGAGTTGTCCTACTCTTGCATGCTAATATCTAAAGTGTGTGAAGAATTTAAAACACGAGTGTGTCCCTGTGCTGTGCTGTCTTTAGGTGCCTGTGTCCATGGCGATGATGAGTCCACAGATGATCACTCCTCAGCAGATGCAACAGATCTTGTCTCCCCCTCAGCTCCAGGCCCTGCTGCAGCAACAGCAGGCTTTAATGCTACAGCAGGTAAGACACACACACATACACACACACATACTCTCTCTCTCTCTCTCTGGTTGGATCAAGTCCCAGGCCTGCGTGTTTGGATGTGTCTGCTTTAGTAGGCGCTGACACACACTGGGCGTGATTGTATCTTATTTAATGCTCACATATCTTTGAAGATAAACACACATCAACATATCCACTTATACACACATTGTCATTTTGAGCACCTCCTCTTTAGCATTGTAGGAGAATGTGCATGCTCCCGCCTGCAGGCACACTCTTGTACACCTATGCACATTCACATGACGCACACACACACTTGTGCGCTTTTTAGCATCAGCCAGTGAATCATAGTGATTCAGGAGTGTGTGTGTTGATGCCCAGCAGGTGATAGAGGCGTTGCCATGTCAACAAAAACCAATAAACACTCTTCATCTGCAACAGATCTATCAAATACTCAGCCACACCAACCTGTGACCTCCTACTTACACAAGTGAAAAACACACGCAACCTTGTAAAGGCTGTGAAGAGGACTATTAACAATGGGGATAGAAAAGTAATTGCAGCGCAGGGGACGTCTAGAAAACACATACATGCAGGAGACACATACAAGCAGACAGATTTAATAAGGAGCGGTAGCTTCAGGCGAGTATAAATTGCAGTGGGAAGATCTGACAACATGTATCATAATGGAAATGTGAAATGTGCTGGCTTTCTGGAAACAGACATGCAGACGGCTAAGAACCTCTTCACCAGCTCTTTTTTTCTCTAACGAGGAGAAAGGAGATGGGGGGGGGGGGGGTAATGGACACACACACACACACACACACACACACACATTACACTCCTCCCGCTATTAAAACCACTGAGTTTAACATTGCTCTCCCACTTAATTAACCACAGTATGGACTAGCTCTTAGTGTATATCTGCAAATCAGGCACTTTTCCTCACAGACACACACACACACACACACACACAGAACAATCAACCAACATATCACTCACTGGAGCATTAAATTTCATATCCCCATGGCCATACAGAATTGTGTAAGAGTGTGTAAGTAAGGTTTACGGCCCACTGCTACACAGCAGTTGTGTGTTTGTACAGGCAGTCATTTGTGGATTTGTGTTTTAACCTTTAAGTTTTCCCTAACCTTTACTTATGCTACAGCTGCTCTGCCTCTCTTTCTTGGTGTGTTCACTAAAGTCAAGGTCATGGTAATAGGCTGGAGAGGTGAGTGCCTCACTTACACATACTCTTAATGCACAGAGCCACTGAATCAAATCATTAAAAAGACCTTAATTATCACTTAATTATTCCCTCAACTCACCACTCTCCAGCCAAGTGTGTGTGTGTGTGCGTGCGTGCGTGCCTGCATGCGTGCGTGCGTGCGTGTGTGTGTGTGTGTGTGTGTGTGTGTGTGTGTGTGTGTGTATGTGTGTGTGTGTGTGTGTGCGTACGTGTGCGTGCGTGCTTGCTTGCATATGCATTTGTCTGTGTGATGAGGAGGCGATCAGGGCTAGTGACGCGGAAAAGAGAGATTAACTCCGCCTAAGGAGCGATAAAAGAGAGGAAAGACAGATGGAAAAGAAAGAGCAGCAAGAAGGAATGAGTCCTGCATTTAAAATAAATTAAGGACAAGAAGGAAAGTCATAGTACAAAAGCACAGTGAATTATTCAAAATTGAAGCTATGGCTGAGATAATATTGCAACAGGAAGTGTAAATCAATTTTGGACAAAAAGAGCAGGTCCATTACATTACACAGCGTGCGTGGTGAGGATGGGCAGTGGTGTGAAATCTGCTCACCGCAGGGTCAGACGCATGTGAGACCGAAGCAACTGCTGCACTGTGAAGTCATTCTCTGGTGAAAAGCCTCTTTGAACATTTGATGCACCATGAAACAAAGACAAACTGCAGACGGACACCTGTACAAGCTGTTCTCAAGAGGATAACTTCCCCCTCCCCAATACACGCACACACACAAACACACACTGTGGTCAGTGTGAGTTTTCCTGTCCGCCTTCCTCTCCTCTCAGCAAGATTATAATCTTAATGGAGCTTCCTGAGTAAATTAATGATTAGTAACTCAAACAAAACAGACAATCTGTGGCCAGGGGACTGTGTGTGTGAGTGCGCACGCGTATGTGTGTGAGTATATGTGAATTATGAGTTATCGTGTGTGTGTTTCCATAAAAGAACCAGACTGAAATGCTAAATTCGGTAGTTTTAAATTATAGCGTTATGCGTAGCAGTCAAGTTCATTCTATCTGCATAATTACAGCAGACAAAGAAATGCTAGTCAAGGTGAAGAACACATAGGGGTGCCAGTAAAAAACTTTAGTCACTTTCCTCTGAGACCATCAGGCCGTTACTATGGCGATGGATGGACAATCTATAAATAACCATACATAACCTGGAGCCACTTCTCTTATCTGAACACGGTATAGAAACAATCCGTTTAAGACTAGAAACTCTTAGTAGTACAGTGTAGGATGTGCACACACACACACACGCACACACACAGTGCCAGCAGGTGTTTTATGACAGCAGTACAGTAAATACAGTAAGAGCAGCCTTTAAGTATTCACAGAGGAATATCTCCATGTGCATATCCCTGGAGGCTTAGAACGTTCTTGTTCAGTCATGCAATGTGTGTGTGTGTGTGTGTGTGCGCACGCATGTGTGTATGTAAAGAGCATGTGCAAGCCACCAGCACTCTTTTTCTATATTTTCATGTTAGCTTCCCCTTTACAATGGCGTGACGCAGTGCGTGTATGCAGGTATAACTCCGGTCTGTTGCCCTTCTGCCAGTCTGCATTGTGCCACAGCCGGATCATTCTATACAGCGCCTGAACTCGGTCAGTTCAGCGTTGTGCAGTAGCTTTGACATACACAATCACCTCACAGCAACAACTTCAGGCACCATAATAGCTCCATGATATTCCTCCGCAGCCTTTGACAGGTCTGTGTTTGCTTGTTCCGTGTGGTTTGTCAAGAAACCACACACAGCCACAACAATAAACTGCGGCCTTCAGTGAACAGAAAGCAACTTCATTCCCTGAGTCTCCTTTTCAAGTTATGGTGTCTGACTATTTAACTGTTGGAAGACTGTGGTATTGTTGAGGTTGATACAAAGTGTGTTGTGACTCACTCGTGTCATGTTTCTCCACCCCAACCCCCCCACCCCCACCCCCACTCAAAAAAAAAAACAACCTTCCACCCCTCGTTTCCCCCCCTTTCTGTGTCTGTCTCTAGTTACAGGAGTACTACAAGAAGCAGCAGGAGCAGTTGCATCTCCAGCTTCTGACTCAGCAGCAGCAGCAGCAGCAGCAGCAGCAGCAGCAGCAACAGCAGCAGCAGGCCGGGAAGCAAGCGGCAAAAGAGGTGAACTTCACCAAGTACACACTCACTCAGCTCAAGTACACTCTGAAGTACACAAGTACCCTTAAACACAGTAAAAGTGGTTGACATGGGAGGCGGCAGAAGGAAAAAAAAAAGAGGCTCTAATGTATAGGATGTGGGATACATACGTTGGCTCTCTTTCTCTCTTCCTCTGCTCTCATCCTCCTGTTTCTCTACTTTATTGTTTTGTGTACAAGCTCATCTAAAAACAAGGATTAGTGAATATGGATTTCCATTTTTTCCACCACCAGCACGCCATGTCGAGGCAGTGAGGGAGTGCTGCACTAAGCCATACGCTACCCTGTCAGCGTGTTCATTTGCATGCCTTCAGCTCTAAGCCTGAGGTGAAATCTCTCTGTAGGAGGGGTTTGCCACTCTTTTAATTGTCAATTAACCCCGCCAGCACTCGGAGCCTCCCTTGCTCTCGCTTTCTCTCTCTAACACACACACACACACACACACACACACACACACACACACACACACAATTATGCATGAACACACCAGGTTTAACCACAGCTGTGGTACAGTAGGATAACAGAGGATCAACTAGGATCACATCGTGGCACAACAAAGAGGATCTCAATCGATCAGACAAGATTACTGTCATAACCTGTGTGTACGAGTGTGTGTGTGTGTGTGTGTGTGTGTTTATGTTTATGCCTGTTTGTGCATGTGTGTACTCTATGACCGTTCGTTCGCCAAAAATTGCCGAACACACAGAGGACCATGCAGGAGACAGACTTAAGGAAGAAAGACCTCATAACCCTTTTCTGATAAACGCATGAGGGTACACATCCTAGATTTCCCCTCTTCCTCCTCTTCTTCATCCCCATCTCCCAGTCGGCAGACTCACCACCCACCCACCCACCACCCCCACAAACTCCTCGCCGACAGCGGTCAACCAACTCGACCGTGACCAAAGCAAACCAGTTGTGGTTGACTTGCATGTTGAGAGGGTGTCTGAATCGCTTTCCCTTTCTCCCTCAGCTCTGCCGCTGTCCCAGTTTTCAGGTTTGTTGTCCTGTAACAACTAGACAAGTGCAAACACTGGTCACACGGCTACACATACATGCAGAGAGGGAGAGGCTTGATGTGTGATGGTTCACTGCACAAACACATACACTTGGGGGAATAGACCTCCCTACAGAGCTGCATACAGCTGTTATGACTAAGGCCATTTCCAGCAGTCAGTGTTTTTCAGTTTGCTGCGAAGCATCAATCACACCTTTTTAGTCGACTCTCGCATCTCTCTTGGTCAAGCAGGTGCCTCCAGACATAGAGACAGAGGACCTTTTTCATTGGAGGCCTTCGGCTGTTTATAAACCTCCATGAAGCTGTGCTAATCTAGTTCATATTATCTCTGAACCCATAAACTGATCCTGTTTAAAGTAGTGATTAGGCAAGCAGGTAGTCTTAACCACCTTTAGATTCTAGCAGTGTTTCACAAACTGAAAAAACAAGAGGACAGAAGGAGACAGAGAAGACAATAGAAAAAGGAGAGAGGATAAACCACAAAGTCTCTCCTTTGCCTTTTGCAGTTTGTGCATGAGCGGCTGTGACTTTTTGCCCTTTTCCCTCTTCTCTGCAATTCCTCTTCACTTCCTTGTCTGCGTAGAAGTGATGCATTGAAAGAGAGAGTATGTATGTGTGTGTTGAGTCCGTGTTTGTGTGTGTCGCTGGTGCATTTGGGACTGGTCAGGAGTCAGCTTAATGAAGTGACTCTGACCATCACAAGAGATGTGTGTATGTGTGTCTGCAAGTGTCCATCTACAGTGTGTGTGTGTGTGTGTGTGTGTGTGTGTGTGTGTGTGTGTGTGTGCGTGCGTGCGTGCGTGCATGTGTGTGTGCGCGTGTGCGTCTGTGTGACTGGCAGGCTCAGACAGTGTGTGATGTGCTCATAAATCACATTGACAGCCTGTTACTGCGCTAGCTTTGGCCACTCAGCCACAGCTAATGTAAACAGAACACAGGCACCCACACACACTCACACACACTCACACACACATACAATGTGTGTTTTAAAGAACCATGGCCATATCTCAGGAGGGAATGAGAGACAGATGGGGGAGTGGAAGAAATAAAATGGACAGACAAGTAGAAAAGGGGGCAGGAGGGCTGGAGAAAGAGAGAGAGAGAGAGAGAGAGAGAGAGAGAGAGAGAGAGAGAGAGAGGAAAAAGAGGTTCAGTTCAGTCTGAACACTCTGATCGTTATAAATCATTTACTGTATCAAATGAGAATTTGTCCATTCACTTCAGAGAACTGAAGTTTGTAAGCATGACACACATTGTGTCCATGACAACAACACCACTTGCCTGTGACAAAGCCTAAGAGATTCATGTTTCCTAATTATACTGTAGTTACAACACAGCAGACACCAACACACTGTAGAATAAATGGAATGAGAAATGCGGGATGAGACAGTGGCAGGTCCATTTCAGGGACTGTAGCTGTGCTTGTGTGTGAGTCTTATGACTAGATATCCTGACCTGTGACTGCTGTGTTCAAGCTGAATGACCAAAAAAACTGGTCAAATACCATAAAGTCCATTAGTAGCCGTTGTGGGGCTTTTGATCGTATCTTCTTCAGCAAATGAAGTTTGTTCAGTTCTTAATGGAGTGATTGAAATTTCAGTCTCTATTTTACTGAGCATGTTTCATTGCCATGATTGAAAGCTCCAGAGTAGCCAGTTGCTACTCTGAGAACCTTGAACAAAAATTTCTCTGTGGCACTAGAATAGTAACCACTTTTTGTTTATTATAGATTTATTCCCTGGTCTTTAGAATTTGCCTATCCATTCAAGTTCAAGTGTAGACAAATAGTCTTGTGCAAATATTTAAAGGTTTTTCCATTGAACCATTTCAAGGGAGGAAAAAATTAGTGTCTCCCCTTTTCCGTCCGTCTGTTTTCCTTTTGTAAAAAAGTAGTTGTTGTGCTTACTTCTCTACACCCCCCTGACACTTACCAACAGCCCCCTCCCACACACAAACACACTGCCACCACACTTCTTCTCCCCAGGCACCAACTCTGAAAGGAAGTGACCTATCTGCCCTTCCTGTGAGTTCCTCTCTGTTCAAAGAGTTCCAGGCTGCCACTCTCTTTCACACACACACACACACACACACACACACACACACACACACACACACACACACACAATGAGCAGTTCCTCAAGTTGTATTTATTTATTTTTCTCCTCCACCAGTTATCTGTGAGAGATAAAGTCCCTCTCTGCTCTGGGGTTGCTCGGGGGGGGGGACTTCAAACAGAGCAGCACAGGCCAGTTCTGGCCCAGACTGGGACAGCACAGGAAAGGGGACATTTATCACCGTAACACACACCGACATTATCGCCACGCGCCATGTAGTCTCTCCCACTCTCCCTTTAACCTCCCTCATTCCCTTCCCTCCTTCTCTTCACCGTCACGGTCGTCACAGCTTGGCTTCGGACTCGTCATCCTTTTAATACGGGACTCATTTTCTCCGCTCTGGCCTCAAATTTCTCGCTTTGTTTTTCAGCAGCAGACAATTAACCTTTACATCATCATCCTCTCATTTATTTTATATGGTGTTAGTTGACTGTATTTGAATTTGTCATAGTGATGGAATGTGCTGACCAACCGCACTGACATCAGAATAAGAACAGATTAAAAAATAATAATGAATCAGTGGCAACTTTCTTAATCTAAATCAAACATTTAGTTCAAATTTACCATTGAAAAAAATGGTACTTTTCAGATTCTGTCCTGTTAATACAACTTAAAATGTTTTGGTGTCATAAACTTGCTCGCTCATCTGCTGAGTCAGACCATATTTTAGTCCAAAGTTATGGCATTGTTTCCTAATTTTGGTCAAAAATTGCCTGAAAAAGAAGTTCTGAATGAACATAAGTGGGTCTATATGTCTTGGACACATTAAATATATTAGTGGTAATGACTTCCTTTGAGAATTGATAGAAATCATTTTAGAATGGTACAAAATGAGGTAAGATAAGATAAAATGAATAAGATTTTCTCTCAGGGACAGTTGCCTATCTCTGACAGAGAAAACATGGGGGCATTACTTAACTTGCTAACTTCTTTCCCACTCTATTGTCTTTCCGTCTTCTGGCTAACAGCAAATAGGCAGTAAGCAGTTGGCCTTCCAGCAGCAGTTGATCCAGATGCAGCAGCTTCAGCAGCAGCACATCCTCAACCTCCAGAGACAAGGCCTGGTCCCACTGCAGCCCACCGCCGCCATGCAGTCTCTGCAGCAAGGTACATGCACGCCCACACACACATCCATATGCACGTCCCTCACTATGCAATACTCAGTAACACAGACACATCCTGACAAACATGCATGCACACATGGTCATAACATATACACACACACAAATTCACACAGGCCTGTACCCAGTGCCACATGTGAAGCCTGTTAAGTTAATCAGCCTATAAAAGATAAAAGGAAACCTGATTGGTGGGTTTTTGGAAGGTACTCATTTGGATAATAGGTAAAATATGCCACTAAGCCCACTGCTTGGAGGTGTGCATGTGCCTGTGCACACGTGTGTGTTTGCATGTGTGTTTGTGCTTGAGACAAGCCAGACACCAGAAGATCATCGTTTTGCCATTACTGTGCCCACTGGATTTTTTTTTTGTTCCTGTGTGTAACTTCTCCCACAGTCCCTTCATTTTGTCAGCAGAGTTTTAGAACAATAAATGTTGACTGTTGACTGGCCCGCCCTTAGTGAGCGTGTGTGTGTGTGTGTGTGTGTGTGTGTGTGTGTGTGTGTGTGTTGTTTTTTGTGGTGAGCATGTGTCGTGTGTGTTGGCGCGTGTGTGTGTGTGTGCCTGTGTGTGCGCGTGTTGTTGCAGTAGTGCGTTGTGCGGTATGTGTGTGGTCCCATTGATCGTGTGAGAGTGTGGGTGATCGTGTCTGACCTGTGTGCCGGCGTGTGCCCATTTTTTTTTTTGTACGCAGTAATGTGTAGCACACACATACACACTATCTCACACATGGAGAATGCTTAAGGGGCTCTAAAGTGGCCGTGACATTGCTAAAGCGCTGACTGAGTTGACCAAACAGGCCAGTTTCCTTCCCTCTTTCTGTCTGATCTCTCTCTTTCTCTCATGCCCAGTCACATGCAGTCACACACTCTCATACTCATTCTGTTAAAACAAAAAAATCAACTCAATCAAATACATTTGATTACTAAAAAGTTCATTTAGAATAAGCTTAACACAATACTAAAAAAATTGCACAGTAACTTAAGTGTTATCTGTGTGTGTGTGTGTGTGTGTGTGTGTGTGTGTGTGTGTGTGTGTGTGTGTGTATATGTCTGTGTGTGTGCATATGAGGGAAGTCCACTGTAGAGCAAGTGGAATTACCAGTTTACACAGAGAGTGTAGAGTGTAAAAAAAAAAAAAAGAGTGGATGCAAATTGAACACAAGTGAAAGGACAGAGGCCACAGTTTTGGATTGAAGAGTGTAATTTTTCAGACAGTTGCAAACATTTTGGCTTTGGCATCTCCTTCTCTTTCGCTCTCTCTCCCTCCGTATCGGAGTGGAATTTCCCTGCAGTGTGAGAGAGCCGGTCCATTGTGACGGCTCAGCCAGGCGTGAGCCTGAGCATTCCTCTGGCCAGCCATGCCACACAAACACACAAACACACATGCATAAACACTCACGCCTACACACACAAATGCACACACTGTTGCCCCGCCTCAAAGGGCTGTTATGTCCGGTGGGTAGGTGGCAGTGGCGGTGGGGGTGACACGCAGGGTCCTGATAGGGCTTTTGTTTATTTTTCGTACTGAAGTGGAAACTCTTGCTAGACATTTATTAATTGTAATTGTTCATTAATGACAAAACCTACTAAGTTCATTAATGGTAAAAAATGAAACAGAGAGAGCACTGTACACATTTGAATGAGAATCAAACTTCTTTCACTCTCATACAATAAAGTCCAGTAGATTTAACTTAGACCCCACCTGTGTGTCTCATCTGTCTACAGACAGAAATGTGACATAGATATATGAGACCCTAACCGCCAGATATGGGTTTGCACATTTGAATTGTGTGAGCCAGTAATGGTTAGAAAGAGCACTTTCATCTTCTCAAATACTTTGTTTCTGTCAACAATAGCTGGAGGAAATTGTGAGTGTACATTTTCACCTGAATGCACACAAAATTAGATTTTTTTTTGTTTACAAATCTGTTCTCCTCTCAGCCATTTACAGTTTGAGTTTTCTTGCTTTGCAATCCAGAATCTCTTATTTCTCCAGAGTTCCTTTTTCTTTTTTCTTTTTAATTTGAATGGATGGATGTGGTATGAGCCAGGCTGATAAGTCAAAAGAGGAAATACTTTATCTAACAATCCCTTAACTACATTACACTTTCACTCTCTGGGCGTGTCCACAGATTGATTGGGTTTCTAATACACGCACACACACATACATCTATGCACACACCACCTCATTCCTCCAGAGTGAGAACTTTTGTTTTGGCGGGACCACAGAAGAATGCAGACAAAGCAGACATAATATTTGGATTGCTGCGAGGTCTCAGTATGTGTATGTGCAGATGTGTGTGTGTGTGTGTGTGTGTGTGTGTGTGTGTGTGTGTGTGTGTGTGTGTGTGTGTGTGTGTGTGTGTATGTGTGTTGCTGCATGCATGCGTGTGTACGTGCATGGTAAGATCCACTGGAGTAGGCTATGGCATTTTCCCCGTCTCTGTTTCTGTGAAATTGGAGCAGAAATAACAAAGCTGCGACTAGAGAGAGCTCAAAGTCTGCAACAACCTTGTTCAGACAAATAGTGGTAGTGACACAAGCAGTGGTGTTGGTGGACAATAGCAATTGCCAACAGAGATTAGGAAATGGCTGAGAAATGGTGGATATCTGGGAAGATAACAAAAACATGCAGAAATGAACCTCTTGTCTGTTTTTGTTCGTCCCATTTTCCTCTCTTAATGACTCCCAGGGGACTGTAATAGTTGTGTTTGTTTTATGTGGTTTAGAATAGTTAGCCTCAGCTCTGTATAACATCAGTTTTTTAACAGCATGCCTGTGTGTGTATGTATGTGGGTGTTATTTTACATATCTGACCATTATTAATTCTTTTTAGCTTTGTTTGAATTAACTTAATTTAAATATCCTATAATCATATTTGTACTGAACATCTGAAATTGAGTTGGTTAACAGTGTGTTCCATCTCCGCAGCGATGTGTCCGTCAGACCTCCAGCAGCTGTGGAAGGAGGTGTCGGGGGTGCCAAGCAGTGAGGAGGCCCTGAAACAGGCCGAGGGCCTGGACTTGAGCACCAACAGCTCCAATTCTACCTCAGCCTTCCCCAAAGCTGCCAGCGCTCACATCCCACTGCACAGCCTGCCCAACGGACAGAGCCACACCCCAAAGAGAGACAGGTACCGTGACTCATAGTATGTCAAAATACTTCAAATATTCACATTGTGTTTTAGTGTGTCTGTCCTCTGTGTGACCTCCAGTCCTTCTAATTCACACACTCCTCCTATGTCATTTTCAGCGTAGAAACTTTTAGTTTTTAGCTCTTCTTCTGTGTCTACACACGTAAACATGCACATGCGGCATACCACACATCACCAGGGTGTAAAGGTGCCCCAGTTCCTTTGGTAGGAGGTTTGTTGGGTTTAGTTTGTTCTGCCTGTACGCTGTCAACCACATGCCAGTATGGTATGGAGGAGAGGCGATGAGAGGAGATGAAAGGAGAGGATACGAGAGGAGAGGATGCAGAAGAGAAACAGAATGAGACTGTGGCAGTTTTGTGAGCATAAATCGGGGATGCTACGGATGTACTACGCACACTGTGTCAGGGTTGTGTTGTCCCATGGTTGTGTTGGCTGCTCATGGGCTTGTCTCCGTCTTTAAGAGCCAGACTGTTTGAGTGGATATCCTCCTTCACCAAGGCAGACAGCGGAGATGACCATGTCCCCCTTTACTCCAAAGGCAGTCAACCCCCCAGCAGCCAGTGAGTAGCACATTTACACTCACACATACACACACACACACGAGTGGACGAGACGGAGACAGAAAGGCGTACTATAGGAGGGTGGTCTGACGTGTCCTTTAGCGCTGATTCACAGCTTGCTCCAGGGGCATTGTTGACCTTCACCTTCAATCTCATTTTGGAGGGGTCAGCATGGGTCGCAACGTATTAATTAAAAGAGCTTTTATTAATTGATCAAACATGTCACACACTGTCACACCACAGCTACAGTGTGCTGTTTGCATCCCAACAGATTTGACTATAGTAGATCATGAAGGGGGTAGCATTAGTGTGTTAGCCTGCTAAGCTAATGCATGGCTGATGTGGAGGAGAATGTGGTTGCCAGCAGTTTGTCATGTCTGCTGTCTGAGCTGCTTCTGAGTTGACTCAACCGCAGCCAGCACACACATACGCACAAGACACACACGCGCAAATACACATGCACACACAGCTCCAACCTCAGCCTGCGCATATGATCAGGAAGAGGCGAAAAAGCAAAGAGACAGGGAGAGAGACATGTTTCCATCTGTGAGACAAATGGTTTTTGTTAGACAACCTTCTGATGTTGATTTGGGAGAATCCCCATCCCAGTGCACACACACACACGTACACACGTGCACACACACACATACAAATACACACATACACAGTCATGTAAATATATGTGGAGACAGCAGTCGCCGGCGAAGGTCCAGGTCTGAACCACATGTGCTACTGGACCTGCCACACACACACACACACACACACACACACACACACACGCGCACATGCACACACGCACGGATACAGTTATTTTACCCAGGGCCCAAACCAAACCTGGCCCAGTCTTTCATCGTCACACACACATACAAATACACACACGCTCATAAATATGCACAGATGTACACACAAAAACACACGCATGCACATGAACTCACCACAAAAGAACAACCAGCACATGACGGCAGCCGCCGCCAATCAGTCATGGCTGGTTGGTCCTGTGCCGACTCTGTGTCAACTCCTGAAACGTAAGAACACACACCAGTGCTGACACACACACATGCGCAACACACACGCCAAGGACAGAAAGACAGGTCATGGACTTCAAAATGTGCCTCTGAGGTTGCTGGACCAATTCCCTTATTTGCCTGGCTTCTGTAACTGACCCCACTCTGCTCTATCCTCCTCTCTCCACACTTGGCTTTGTGAACTGTACAAACTAATGACTGCTAACCAGACTCAGATGGCTGTATTGATGTTGCTGCTGTTGCTACAGTTAGTTTTGCATGTGTGTGTTTGTGCATGAGAGTGTGGCATATTAACGCTTTGCCTCTTATTTTGAGAAAGTATCTTTATATGCTGAATGTTTTATGTACATAATAAAAAATAAAGGACTTAAAATCTCTCTGCCCACAGTCATGAGGAACATGCTGGCTCCCATCCTCTCTACGGCCATGGAGAGTGTAAGTGGCCTGGCTGTGAAGCACTGTGTGAGGACATGGGACAGTTCATCAAGTAAGTTACAGATGAAAATAAATTATTAGACAATGAAGAAGATGTATAACTGCTTTCTGTATTCTGTATATTTATCGCTGCAGTCAGAAAAAGCGAACAGTGACAGAGGTCCTGCTTTGACCAGTGTCTGTTTTCCTTTATTAAGGACAATATTTCACAACACAGCTAAAGATCAGCAAAATCTACGTTTGTAGTCACACACTCCACTCGCCTTAACCACTAACCGTGCCTCAGACAAACTTCCTTCAATTTCATCACTAATTGGTAACAAACACAATGCCTGGTACTTAAAAAGGCTCAACAACACTAGCCCCTAGTGTTATTGCAGGAAAGACAGAAACATGACACATTTGTCTGATTCAGATTACCTGTAGGCACATGAGATGAGGCAGAACAAAGTGAAGCTACAGTATGTGCTAAATGTGGAGTGTCAGTCACGTACATCACTGGAGTTCTGCGTTACCCCACTAACTCATCAGTTGCGATCTGTTGCATCACAGTTGCTCTGAAGCACATGCATGCATACATACAGGTACAAGCATACGCGTGTCATGTGTAAGTTCTTTGTTTTTCGAGGGACTCTTCAGCCTCCCACTACAACTCTACCCTCCTCTTCTATCATTTTTTTTTTTCTCTCAGCTAATACACATTGTATTGGCTGTTTGTGTGTGCACTCGTCTCCATTCATTTGCTGCCCTAATACAGACAGGAATTTGTGATCTAATATGTGCGTCAGTGTTCGACTTATCTTCCTCAGAATCAGTGTCTTTGTGTGTTTTAACGCATTTTTCTGTCCTGTATGTTTTCCTCTGAAGGGTCAAACAGATTGTCTCTTTACAGAAATAGAAATTTATTCTTAATTAGCTCATCCATAAGCACATTCCCACAGCAATGGTGAAGACATCAAACACCCTCTGTCACTCATTCCCACTCTGCTTCCATTTTCCTCTTCTCCTCCCTCGGCACGTCTTTCATAGCTGTTATTTGCCAGTTTGGAGTCATTGGGGGATGCTGATGCACTATCTGGCCTTGACATTCTGCCACCTCCTCCTCTGTCACACACAGTACAGTGGACTTCCCCATGGCACTGTGGCTGCTAACAAAGGATTCACAAGCCTCTAATGAAGCCCTAAACAAACTCGCACTCTAATTATCTGGAACTTTTAGCTATTTGAGCAATGGAGATATTAATAAGCCGGGGTGATGAAATATGTACTCACACACACACACATACACACACATAATCACAGAAGTGTGCGTAGTGATTGTGATGGCATCGGACAGTCAGATCAAAGCTTGTAGGCAGGCTGGGAAAGTTTGGAAAGGAAAGCTGTTGTTTGGTGTCTCATTTCACGTAGCCCCGGGGCAGATGGAAAGAGAGAGAGCGATAGAGTGAAAGAGTGTGTGTGTGTGTGTGTGTGTGTGTGTGTGTGTGTGTGTGTGTGTGTGTGTGTGTGTGTGTGTGTGTGTGTGTGTGTGTGTATGTAAGAGAGAGAGGGGGGAGAGAGAGAGAGATGAAAAAAATAGAGGCAGTGACAGATAATGCCGTCAGTCCGACAGTGCGCTCCCTTCCAGCCAGCTTTAGTCATCGCCCCAGGAGAGAAAAGGGTAGAGCAGAAAAGAACAGAGGAGGGGGACACTCCACTGTTTCAGGCCTTTCTTCTCTTCTCTTCTCTCTGCCCACCTCTCCCCCTCTGCTCCTCCTCCCTCCCCCCTCCCCGTCCTCTGGTATAATACTCTGGCTGTGGTCGGTGGAGCTGGGTGTAATGTGGGTTAAAGCCTTGTCTGCCAGCACTCAGAGGAGTAAACAGAGCCTCATTGTCGGGACACATCGAAAAAAAAAAAACCCTGCTACTGTTTATGGCGCGGCTATAGAGAGAGGGGAGGTTTTTTTGGGGGCAGATTTAGTTGGAATGAGTGTGAATCATAGGCATTTGGGGAGTTGCGGGGGAAGAAGAGTGGGAAGGGGAAGAGTGGACAGAAGTACAAGAGAGGAAGAGGGAGAGAGGGAGCTTGATAGAGAGTGAAAGAGAGAGAGGGGTGAGATCATGTTTTTGTTATTATTATCGTGCACTTGTGTTGAGCCGTCTATCTGCCTGGATTAGCCATGCCATGACATCATTGTTTTTGTTTCATTTCTAGCCTTCGCCTGATATTGCCTAACTTTCTACTTTCTTAAAGGCACACACTCACACTCACATAGTCGTGCACTACATGGATACACACACTTCCTCGTGTGACATACATTTTCACAATAAACAAGTCAGAGAAGCGGCTTTATGAAGATTACTGAGATTAGAAGTTAACACCGCATGATATCGGGAAACTTACTCTGAAAGAACGGCTCTCTGATATATCTCACACCATGATATGCATGAGCAAACACACACACACAAACTCATGCACACTGGGCAAGCAGCGGCAACCTGCGAATAACCTTGGCGATGACAGAGGGGAGAGAAAGGGATGAAGGAAGGGAGACAGGGAGGGGTGCACTGGGAAAGATCAGAAGGTCTCGGGTCCTCCCACACTGGAGGAAACAAACAGCGCCACCATTTACACACACACACACACACACACACACACGTCTGTTCACATGTACGCGCACACCAGTGTTAATAAGTGGAGTGGAGTTTAGCTAGCAGACAGTCTTAAGATAAGGCTGTGTGCTATAACACATGAGCTCATATCCAGGTGGTTGTCTTGGATCATGGCTCACTGAACACCAATGAAGTATACACACACAAAACACAGCTGCTGCGTCCTTCACTAGACAAAATAAACCTCCAAGATTATGATTTATTTTTATAGCACTGAAACAGCTCATAACTCAGTTTAAATAAAAGTGAACGACCTGAGTTTTGTTACTTCATCATTCAGGACCATTGAATTGATGTAACAATGATTTTATTCACTTAAGTGTAACTTAGAAAAACCGCCATTGAACTGAATAATTGAATGAAAGAGCAGCATTTTGATCTTGATACTTTTTATTTGCAGATACCTACTTATTTCTCCAAAATGATTGACTGCTGATCCTCTTGCTTTTCTCCTCTCCCCCAGGCACTTGAACAATGAGCACGCCCTAGATGACCGCAGCACTGCTCAGTGCCGAGTCCAGATGCAGGTGGTTCAGCAGCTGGAGATACAGGTGAGTTAGACACACATACTCACACACACATACGCACACGCTAACGCGCACTTAATTTTCATCCGCTCACAAACAAATTCATGAAGACTGTTTCAGCCAGTCAATGGCAGTAACTTGTCTGAGGCAGGGCAGAGTTTATGGAGAGCAGTGGAGCTTGTAATTTAAAAGGAGCAGTCGGCAGGGAAGCTGCCATCGCTGCTCCAATTATAAAGCTGCTCTGGTCACCAGCAAGAGCGAGCGAGGCTGAGAAGGGAGGAGGGAGAGAGAGGAGAGAAAGGAGAGAGAGAGAGAGAGAGAGAGAGAGAGACATGAGCTAGAAAGCGGAGGACCAGGCTGCATGGCCTCTCTTGTTCTCAAAGTGGTTCATGCACCCAACACTCTTGAAACATCTGAATGCCCCAGCGAAAGCAAAATACCAGCACTGGACCGGATAGGAAGTGAAATGCTATTCTCAAACAGTGTGTAAGAAAAGTTCCAAACAAAGTGGAGATACATGTCTCTTCACACACATCTTGACATAGTTTCCAAAACAGTCCTGAATACTCTGTTCACATCACTGTGTGTGTGTGTGTGTGTGTGTGTGTGTGTGTGTGTGGGGGTTGTCCAGAATTAGGGTTAGCGTTGTGTTTGGTGGTGGTGGTAAACAGCGTTTAGCTGAGCCCCTGAAGCCACCACCAGGGAACACAAAGTGACAGAGAGGCAGCTGGTGTCACATCACATCAGGACAGCCGTCTCTCTCTCCCTAACATGTCACTTCATCCCTCAGCAATCCACAGGCAGCCCACTCCTCTACCCTCCACACACACACACACACACACACACACACACACACACACACACACACAGCAGCAGCACAGACACTGTGTTTAAATTTCTCATATTTACACATTGCCACACGTCGCTGAAGTGTGTGAGTATGTTCATGGCACTATCAGTCTTAGTTTACATCCGTTGTTTCTGGAGGCTACAGGTGTGTATGCTTGTACTCATGCACAAAGACACACGCAGAATGCAGCGTTTCCACAGGCTGTAGCAGAACCCATTAAACGGCAGTTAACAATGTCAAACGGGACAAGTGTGTCTGCAGGCAAGTGTAAGTGTGTGAGAGAGCTCCGGGTGCTGAGGCAGCTGACTCTCATATTCATCTCTGTGCCTGAGGTGTAATTGTAATTGTAATTCCGTGTCAATACCGCACACACACACAAAAAAAAGTGTTTTTTGTGATGACATCTATCCTCTGTGCGCTTTCACAGCTGGCGAAAGAGAGTGAGCGACTCCAGGCCATGATGACCCACCTGCACATGCGCCCTTCAGAGCCAAAGCCTTTTAACCAACCTGTGAGTACACACTGGCACCGTAAACCTCTCCTTCACCCTCTGACTCAAGCTTCCACTGCCCCATCTTATTCACATACAAACTCTTCATCAGGTTCTTCACCTCTTAACCTCAATGTTCCTCTGCTCCTGTCTAGCTTGATATCTGCGCCCTCTATTGACCAGTGAGGGTTATTATATTATTTATAAATCATACAGACTACTTTCTGTCTGTCCTGTGCTTTTCCTTACTCTTCTTCTCTTTGTCCTTCTTGTTTCCTTCCCCCTCTCTTCTCTCTGCCTTAAACTTCCCATGATACAGTGTGTTTCATTCCTCAGAGGAAGTCATGAAAGAAAACAGCCAAAGTAATCTCTCACAGTATTTTCAGTGTGTGCTGACAAAAAGGATATAAATTTGATATGATATGTGTGTGTGTGTGTGTGTGTCCACACTGGTTGGCGAAGTTGTTATTAGGTATCTAATGAATATTTCATTATTCAGATTGACGAGGAGTCTTATTAAAATATGAAGATGTTGAAATTAATTGTCAATTAGAGGTAGAGTGTCTTAATTTGAGGGGATATAAATGGGTGCAGCCGAGTGGCAATGTGTGTGTGTGCGCGTGTATTTGTGTGTACTTGTGTGTCTGGATAATGTGTTGATCGCATGGGGATCAGCTGCCATTAACATCTAATGGGAAATCAGGAAGAGGCGTGTTCTGTCACCACTGGAGACGAGCCTCGGGGTCAGGGATTGGAGGAGGAGGGGCAGGGGAGGAGCATCAGGAATGGAAACAAAGCTTGGCCTCAATTAACAGGGTTCGACTGTTGCCGTGGTGATGTGGCAGGGTTGCAGCGTTAATGAAGTACCTGTTAAACAGCCCCGCCCCCTCCAGTCAGCTTAAATGGTACATAGAGGGGGCAGAGTAAAGAGGAGGCGATTCACGCATTTTACATACATATAGACAGCACACACACACGCACACACACATAGACACACACTGTGGTTTTAATTAGTCCTAAACTAGCAGCCCTACAACGGCTGTCCCAGAGAGACTGGGAGTGCTGGTTTTGTGTGAATGTGTGTGCAAGGCTCTGCCTAATTGGGCTGTATTGGTCCGTGAAGACTTTGCCACCGCAGAGTGCATGTGTGTGTTCCCTTCTTACAAACATGCTGTCGTGTGGTTTTGTTTTTGTAAGCTCAGGGTTAATTGCAGCCAGCTCTGCGTATATAAATATATGTGCATGTTGAGTGTGTTTTTGATTGTGTGTGGTTCTGTGTAAGGATTTACAGTAGGTTACTTTTGGGAAATGGAAGGGACAGAAATTCATAGGGAGACTTTGATGGCTTTATTTTTTATGTGATGTGAGTTAACATCAGTAGTGCTTCCTGGATATAGCTCCTCACAGTGCTGTAGGTGAAATAATGTCAAATTAATGATTGGAACAATTTTCTGAAATGTGCCAGAGGCTTGTGGCCTCGCTGGCCTGTGTATTTACATCATTTCTGTGCTCGGTGTATGGCAGAACATGACTGTTCATTTAGGTACAAGCCCCAAATGTCTTAATATTCTTACACAACTAATAGACAAAACTGTTTAGAAACACTTTCCAGGAAGAGATTTGTTATGTGTGTGATACAAAAGCATTGATATCACCTGACCCTGACCTTATCTAGATGATGCAGCAGCAACAGCACTCAGCAGATGGTGAGGCATTAAAGTAAACATGAGGGAAGCATTAGTCATATAAAAAAAATCCATTTGATGTCTCTGCACCAAAATGATTCTCCACTCTTGGCACAGAAACTCAAAATTTTGATATGAATAAAGTTTAAACTAACTTTTATTTGCAGTGTAAAGTTCTCACCTCTCAGGCTGGTATCAGTCTCCACAAGGTAAATTGATATGTAAGTAAATACTATTAAACTGAGGTGCAGTAAGTTATATGAGGATAGGATGACATTTTTGTGTGTATCTGAAAAAAAAATCCACACATCCAAGCTGACTCACGCTTATGTCTCTGTCCCTTTCTAGCTGAACCTGGCTTCCAGCGGCTCTCTGTTAAAGCGGGACAGCGATGCCTACCCAGAGGGTCTTCCCCACCCGCCCACCTCGGCTGCCACCCCCATCACCCCACTGCGCCAGGGACCCTCGGTCATCAGCTCCTCAAGCCTGCACACACACTCCCACTCCCACACGCACGCTGTCGGGCCCATTCGTAGGCGCAACTCCGACAAGTATTGCACCCCCATTGCCTCAGGTAGACTGAATCATACATCCCCCTATCGCTGATTCCCACACTTACTCAGTACCTTCCTGTTTATGTTATTATCCAGTATTATCTTATTATTAACTGGTTTATAATAAACTCAAATTGTATATGTTTTTTAATCCAGCGCTGGATTAGGTTTTTCTTACCGCACTGGCCATTTTCTTTTTTTTTTCCACAAATTTCCCTGAAAGAGCAATAAATTACAGCATGTCTTTATCCAGCTGTTTTATTTTATTCATGGCTCAAACAAAGATGTGGTTGATTATGTTTCCTGTCTTTCTTACAATAAAAAATATTGTAGCCTCAGTTTTACTTCGAGGTATCTAACCAATATGTTTTAAAGGATGTGGCTAAGAATGAAGTCACATTCATATACATCCATTCAAGTTTTTAAATTGTTAAAAAAAACAAAAGAAAGAAAGAAAGAACAAAAGAAAGAAATTAAAAATATATCATAAGGATGGAATTTATAATTGGCTTCTGAATAATTTCTAAAGAAAAATAAATATCTTTATAAGAATGTACATTGCTCTTTCCATTAAAATCTGCTGAATCTGTGGTCTAATAATAATATCAAACAACTAGATATATGGATTTATTTTTTCTAAAATACCTCTGAGACAGTTCCTTTATTATAATTATTTATTTTCATTTATTAACATTTACATTTGGATGACATGTTACACTACACATTCATAATATTTAGTTCACAACAGTTCATTTCAAATGATCTTGCCTTTTTTTTTCAGAGCTGGCTCAGAACTGTGAGTTCTACAAGAACGCTGATGTCAGGCCTCCCTTTACCTACGCCTCTCTTATACGTCATGTAAGTCTCTCCACTCGTCCATTTCACCATCTCTCCTCTCCATCTCTGCTCTCCTCTAAATTTTGTCCTATCTATTTTCTCTCCTCAGGCCATTCTGGAGTCTCCAGACAGACAGTTGACTCTCAATGAAATCTACAACTGGTTTACACGAAAGTTTGCCTATTTCAGGAGAAACACAGCCACATGGAAGGTAAATTACACACCATATATACATTCTCACTTGTACTTCATCCTTCAAAGGACATTCTTTTAGCTGTACATAACTAATGCTAAAGAATAAAGGACATCAGAAGTAAATGTGAACTTAATTTCATTCAACTAACCTAAAGTTTTTGCTATAAAACATTATTCTAGAAAACTGAGAAAATAGAAACCAGGCCAATTAACAAACTAGTTTGGGGTTGTTTAAATTATGGTGAAAATGAACAGCACCATATTTAGAAAATGAAAGTTTGGACTGCGGTTCTGACTCAATCAGCTGAGCTAATTGCCTGCAAAGTAATTGTGGTCTGTGCCCACTGATGAAGCCCCTAACCCAAGTAGACTTGTTAGACCACAGTGGAAGCAACAAAAACTTGTCGGCAGCTTGTGCAGTGTTATTTGAAACACAGACAGGCCAAACGACTTACTTTGTGGAAAATGGAGTCACTTTAAAGGCTCAAATATAACACTGTCACACTCTCAGAATGATTGAAGTACAATAACGCACACATTCCTGCACACAAATTTAAACGCTGACTTTGGTCCGCTGCTAAAGGTATGACTGATTTGACAGTTCAGGGCCTGTTTTTCCTTTATGAGACACTTTCCTACTGCTCTCTCTCTCTCTCTCTCTCTCTCTCTCTCTCTCTCTCTCTCTCTCTCCGTCTCTCTCACTCTGTCCTTTATCCTCTTTCTGCCCTAAACAATTCTCTCACCTCGGACATGGCACATGGAGAGTCGGCCCCACTTAGCCCAGTGGAGCCACATCAAACCGTTATATGGCCTCATTATAGAAATGGACATGCAAAGCTGGTGCACACACACACACACACACAGCTCATGATCATACACCTTGAATTCTCTCTTTCTCCCTCCTCATCTCTCTCTCTCTCTCTCTCTCTCTCTCTCTCTCTCACACACACACACTTATACACACACACACACACTCCTGGCCTGATCCCACCATTGTAGGTGCTGACCCATTTCTACAGAAACCTCACACTAATTTGAGTGTCAGTTCCTCCAGAGAGAGGGAAAGTGAGAGAATGAGCAAAGGAGGGAGAAAGATGGGTGGAGGAGGAGGGGTGAGGAGAGACCCTGGCCTTCCTCTAATAGCCCTAAACCAAGGATAGGAGGGAGGGATGGGATGATGATGTGGTGTGGAGAGGGTTAAGAGACAGGGCAGCCAGGAATATCTTTACCTCCTCATCTGACTTTTATGAATTTTAACTATTAATGGCTGGTGTCTGCTTCCTGTGCCGTTGGCCTTGCAGACCTTTAAATATAGCTCGGCATGGCCTTATGTATTTATATAGCAGCTCAGTGAGTCAAATAGAGCCGTAGAGATGTATGTCCTTTAATAAGCCGTTATATTTCATGAGGAGAGCAGCGGTGTCAGGCAGTGGAAGTCATTGATCAGAGTAACGGAGGGACAGACAATGAGGAAGAGACAAGAGAGAGAAAAAGAAAGAGGTGATGGAGAGAGGAGGAGAAATGAGAGTTGAGTGTTATTTCAAGGAGCTGCATGATGAGTTGGAGGCTTAAAAGAGGTTTATTATCTGTTTAATTTACCAGAAAAGACATATCCCATTTGTTTTCCACTTTTTTCAGATGCACTTATATTTTTACATTTTTTAGGGGGTCCCACCTGTAAAGAAAATTAGAAAAGAATGAAATAGAATAAGAAAAAAAAAATGCAATCAGTGTTTGTACAGCTTTAGGTACCAGTTACTTTGCAAATTAAGAAACATATAATATAAAGCACATGCTGAGCTCACAAATTATGATGCATTATTATAGATTAAACGAAGCAACAGTATATAAAATAGTTAAAGTGAGCTGTACCATGACCAACAGTAACATGCTACTTTAATGACATCAATGCTTCACTAATTAAAAATATGATATATAATAGTATTAATAGTATTAGCAGTAGTATTGATAGTAGTTTTAGATTTGCTGTATTGCTATTCTTACTTAAGGAAGGGATCAGAATACTTATTTAATTGCTGTTTAACAATAAACTGTTATGCTTGTTTATTCATTCTTCCATTTATCATCTTGCCTGCTCACATGTATTCCTATTAAGGATCATATACAAGCCTATCCCAGCATGCATCAAGCAGAAACACAAACTGGACGGAGCACAATGCTCAAACATTTACAGTATAAAGACATTCATACTTCCAGTAACACCTGTGATCCTGAAAGAAATTTAATATCTGATTTTTTTTCCTCTTTTTTTTTTTTTTTTTTTTTTTTGAAAAAACGATTTATTTTTTTTCCCAAAAAATTTCCCCCCCCCCCCCCCCCCAGCCGGAGGGAGTGGAGATGAGTGGCACATGTGCTGTGACCCACTGTAAATGACTGCTAATGTTTTAACTGGGAGAATTAGGCTTTCATCACGGAGACGAATGCAAATAGCACTGCAATAGCACTGGTGTCTGGCGTGTGTGTCTGTGTGCGTGTGTGTGTGTGTGTGTGTGTGTGTGTGTGTGTGTGTGTTTGCACTGTCAGGGTGGCGGGCAGAGATTGGGGTCAGACTCATTTACAAAACTTAGCATCACAGCTCGGGGGGTTGAGGGGATGCGGGGGAGAAAGGGTTCCTCCGCTGATTATGGCTTGTGTAATTACGTGTGTGTTTATGTGTGTGTGCGCGTTTGTGTGTGTGTGTGTATCTGCGTGTGTAATTACGGCGAGGAGTGATGCATGCCTGGCCTGTCCCTCCCTCTCGGCTTAGAACAGCGTGTCAGAGAGAATATGCAGGATTTAATTATAGACGAATTAAAATTGGTAATGAAATTGGGCATGAACAAACTACAAATAGCAGATGAAAAGGGAGGCTTGTCCCTGGGGGGGGTGAGACGAAGATAGCGGTGTGCCTGCCTGCTTGCCTGTCTGAGTGCCTGTGGATGTGTGTGTGTGTGTGTGTGTGTGTGTGTGTGTGTGTGTGTGTGTGTGTGTGTGTGTGTGTGTGCTGATGATGACTGATTAGAAAAATTCTGAGATAAAATAACGCTACTAGAGAACTGCTGCCTTTTATTAGCACTGTACATGGAGCTACAGTATGTGCGTGTGTGTGTGTATAAAAAGTGATGGGTAAAAAAAGGACCATTATTCTCAGGTCACACTACTTATGCAGTTACGACAACATGCTGGAAAGCACTGTTTGTACTGAGCACACGCTGTGTGAGGGTCCTCACCTCCCGCTAGGTAACAGCCTCTGGAAAAGGAACAAAAGCCATTTTCAGCTGGAGTTAAGTTACTTTTTACGTACACACTTCCTCGGTAGAATAACATGGAATATTGTGGCTACTTAAGGAATTTCTTAAATTAGCAGGAAGTATTGATAACTTAACTTAATGTGTCACTTTACAGGAAAAGTTCAGAACGTTCGTTATAATTTATTTAATGTATTCTTTGCATTAGATGGTGGTTTTCAGGTGATTGCTGTCACTACGAGCCAGACTGTTCGGTACACTGGAATATTTATCAGCTGAGAGTGAAGAAAGAACAAATATTTTAAGGCAAAATTTGTATGAAAAGTCTAGGGGACTTTAGGGCGACCTGATACCACATGGATACCACATGGGCGTAAATTCCCTGAGCAGGGAGTCCGCGGTTTGACTTCCAAGCATTTGCTGCTTGTCAATCCCCTATTCTCTTTCTCCACATTTCCTGTCTGTCTTCATTGTCTCTGTTAAATTAAAGCATAAAAATGGTCAAATAGTAATAAAAAAAAGCACAAGGGAAAAAGATTACAACCAAATAAAATAAAATGTAGGAACCAAATAAAATAGAAAATATTAAATATGGTTAAATAAGATACCCATGCTGAAGACTTGTTGACTGGTCATATTAAACCTCTTCTCTTCTCTCTGTATGCCTTTTCCCAGAATGCCGTGCGTCACAACCTGAGTCTGCACAAGTGTTTTGTTCGTGTTGAGAACGTGAAGGGGGCCGTGTGGACTGTGGATGAAGTTGAATACCAAAAGAGGAGACCACCAAAGATGACCGGGTAAGAGTGCACGAACATACAGTCATATACATGTGTACACACACACACACACAGACATGCACACACACACTGTCATATACATGTAAACACACACGCACACATACACACAGTCATGCACACATTTGAGTTGAGTGAGATGTGAGTGTGAGCTTATGGGTGCTGGCACTATGATTGCCTAAATGGACCCTCTGTTATTACCAAGAGGCCAACTCAGCAATCATTGAAAAAAAAAAAGAGGGCTGCTGGCTTATCATGTACATACTGTGTGAGTGAATGTGTGTGTGAGTGTGTGTGTGTGTGTGTGTGTGTGTGTGTGTGTGTGTGTGCGCGCGCGCGCGCGTGTGTTTTTCCCTGTTTGTCGACACCATTAGTAAGCAGCTGTGTGAGATGCAAGAGAGCAAAAAACCTTGTTAGCATATGTAAACAGATGTTCTCTCCAACCGCCAGAGAATCCAGGGATAATTACACACACACACACACTCTCACACACACCTGCACGCCAGATATCAGACACTTTCATATGTGTGTGTTTTAGCATCTGTTTACAGTCTGTGTGTTTCTTCTTGTAACAAACATGTTTGTGAGATTTGTCAGAGCGCTTTGGCTGAGGTGACATCTTTCAGCACGTGCACTTAATCTGTGATTCTCACCCCTTTCTCTCTCTCTCATCTCCTTTTGTGTGTGTGTTCGTGTCTGTGTGCGTGTGTGTGCGTGTGTGTGTGTAGAAGTCCCACTCTGGTGAAAAACATGATTTCAGGCCTGGGCTTTGGATCCCTAAACGCCAGCTACCAGGTAAGAAATGCCCTGTATTTTTTCTTTCTCTCTCTCTCTCTCTCTCTCACACACACACACACACACACACACACAGATCAGCCAATTGCAATCAAGGGCACTAATATCAATTCCCTCTTATAATTAGCAGATTCCCTAACGACGTTCACACCACCTCCTTCTCCCACACCAACACTCACTCTCACCTCCCACCTCACTTTCTCACATATGTGCCACCCCCCACCTCTGCACACACGCACACACACACACACTCAACCCTTCTCTTCACTCACTATGCAGACATGCACACCAAACCCACACACACATGCAATTTTGTGACTGAGATGATTTATAGCGTCAAGTAGTTGTCAATTAAGGTTACCACATAAAATTATCGCCTGTCCCAGAAAATCCATCTCTGAGCCAGTGAGAATTCCCCTCCTTTTGTCCCCCCTGCCCACCCCCCCTCCCAACTTTTTTTTTTCCTGTGTGAGCGGGGCGGTGGGGTCCAACTCACATCTCCAAACAGCTGGATGTGAGCGTCTAGAGTAGTGACAGAAGCTGCCTCTGTTGGTTCACTTGTTTTCTCCTCTGCAGACATTGATGTTTCACTGTTTGTGTGTGTGTTTAAGTTGAGGTTGTGGTTCAGTGTCGCTTAACATTCCTGTTGAGACTTTTCACATGAACACACACACACACACACACACACACACACACACACACACACACACACACACACACACACACTCATGACAGGGACTTAAATGTAAAAGTACAAGCCATGATGGGGAAAGTACTGTGTATAAGTGCCCCCTAGTGGTTTGTGGAGTACACTAACACGTTAGTGGAATCAAATACGCTCCATGTGGAAGAGCTCTCAGCAGTACATTAAGTAAAACTCTCCATCATTCATTGTGGCTGTGACCAGCTATTATAATGTGTTTTACATGTAGTTATGTGTCAACTGAACTTACAAACAAATTCTGAGTATTGTTACATTTTGAGAATAGTGTGTGAATATATATTAAAGTCAAGGAGAGGTCCATGTTTCAACATATTTAGTTCCATGACCCCATTTGATATATCATGTAACCCAGCTTGATTTAAAGTGACTTTAACAACTCTTTGTGTGTGTGTGTGTATGTGTGTGTGTGTGTGTGTGTGTAGGCAGCTCTGGCAGAGAGCAGTCTGTCCTTGCTAAACAGCCCTCCCCTGGTGACCCCTCCGTCTGCGGCCAGCCTCAACATGCTGCATGTGGGCCACGATGATGTCAGCTCCACTGTGGAGCAGGTCAACAGCAACGGCAGCTGCAGCCCCACGCTCAGCCCTCAACAGTACAGGTATGTACTGTTATAGACTCACACACACACACACACACACACACACAAGTGAAACACATGCATGCAGACATACTGTATGTCACGGTGCAAGCAGACTACACAAAACTGCTTTAGTATATGCCCATTCATTGATCTTATTAACAATTACTGTGTTCACAAAGGCGAGTGTATCAGACTGATAGTGTCTTTTTTATCAGCGACTCTGTGTTGTCTACCATCTAGATACAATATTGAAGGTATGATGGTGATACTGATATTATTATTATTATCTTTATGAAACATTGCTGACCAGAGAAATCACTAACATTTAGTGTAAGACAATTCTACACAACAGGATAATCTAAAACCATCAAAGGAAACCATCGCCCCCCTGCTTTAAAAAGCAGCTAACCCAGAATTCAAGAATGACGGTACTGGTTTTACTGGAGAGTGTAAGTTGTATGATGATCTACTTGCTGTTTCTGATGCTTTTCCACATAAAATACAGAAATTTCATCCCTGAGAAAACCTTTTTTTAAGATTGAAAAAATAAATCCTATTTTTGCATTTATTTTTCTTTGCAGAACATGATATTACAATGATATTAAAATTTAAATTTTCCTGACAACATGATACACTTATACAGATAATCCAAAGACCTCATCATGAACAGGTAAATGTACACTCACCAAGTGTAACCACATCGGGATTTCTTGAGTAAGACATTACTGGTGGGATTAAAGTATCATTGTTGTGCTTTGGTTGCCACACCTGCACTACTTGACTTGACAGCAGAGTCGTATTTCCAAAAAGCTAAGGAAATCAAAATAAAACTCCCGCATTAATTGATAGTACAATAAGCATCAGCATTTGGCAGCAGTCAATACAGAAAGTCCGATCTTGGCATCTTCCTTTAAAACTCCAGCCCTTGCCTTGCTAATGTCTGTCCGTCTCTCCTCCAGCCACCCGGTGCATGTGAAGGAGGAGCCCACTGAGTTGGAGGAGGACAGTCGGCCAGTATCCCTCCTGGCCGGCGTCACACACAGCCTGCCATTGCCGAGCGACGAGCGCGATCTGGAGGAGGATCTTCCCACCGAGGAGCTGGAGTAGGACAGATCCGCGACGCACCAGAGGGACGGGACATAGCGAGACGAATCCCCGAGCCCTCTCGTCAGTGTGAAGAGGAAAAGATAGCTACAGTACACTTACAAGAAAAGAGAGAAGAGAGAAAAAAGAGAATGTTTTTTTTGTTTTGTTTTGTTTTTATGAAAATGCAAGCAACCAAGGACGACATTGAGAAACTCCAAACAGGGTTAGATGACCTCCGTTACTTTCAGACGCAAAAACAAGACTGTGGAGCACTGCTTTTACCTCCATGTGTTTCTTTTCCAACACTTGGCTCAGAGGTGTAACACCACTTAATGCATACACACTCACACAAACACGCACACAGACACACCCATTCACTTGTCAAACCATGTTTCGTTCTCCTCCCTGGTAACATCAGCCTCCATGTAGAGACCCCTAGAGGCGTGGACACACACTCTCCCCTCCTCGCCCCACCACTCTGCATACACCCCCCCTCACTGTTGTCTCGGGCTGCCTGGCTAGCCGTTTTGTGTCTAATCATCAGTTGAGAAGACACACAGGTGTTTTTTTGTGTGGGTGTTAGAAAGAAAAAGACACACAGGATCATGTGTATATAGATTTGGAGCAGTCATCAGGGGCTGTGCAGTATACCTCTCCTCCCCCCCCTCCCCCTCCCTCTTTGAGTCAATCACTTGCTTTTTCGTTTTCTTTGATTTGATCGAGATGAAACTGTTGGGCTTCGAGATGGGAAGGAAGAAAGGAAGGAAGGAAAGAAGGAAGGAAGGAAGGAAGGAAGAGTGCTTTTAAAGATTACCTCCAACAGGGCTCCAACACTTCTGCGGATCTGGCTCCTGTCTTCACGTCTGTGTGTGTGAGCCCACGGCGAGGCAGCGCAGCCCTGGTCCCTGCCCAAACTTCTGCCCCCCAGCGAGACACTTAGTGACAGACATCTTTAAAACTCTTTGCTTCTAAGTGAGAAAAAAAAGAAGACATTTTCCTACCCACCTCCATCCCATCCCACCCCACCCCCCACCCACCCTCCCCACCCCCCCAAAAAAAGATTGCAGGAATAGGACCATTTGGTGCTGTCCTTCTCCTCTCCTCCGTGTGCGAATGGAGGGATGAGCTTGGAACACTTTAAGAACGAGAAGAAAAGAGAGGGAGCAGAGAGAAAAGAGGGAGGAAGCATCTACAGAAATATTGTGACTAAAAAAAAGAAAAATCTTGATGATTATGGAATATAACAAGAAAAAAAACGTGTGGTAGCTTTTGTCATTTCTTTTTTTTTTTTATTTGATGTTATGTTGATGATGTTATTATCATTGTTTATTTTTGAGGATCAATATTTCCACGGTGGCGTTCTGTTTCGACATACCTTTTCTAACGATGCTGTTTTTGTTTTTGTATTGTAATTTGTTTGATTTACTCTGGTTGTTCACACCATTCCAAATAAGTATTGGCAAAAAAAAAAAAAAAGAAAAAAAGAAAAGAAAGCGCAGTATTGTCCCAACTTGTGATACCTGACCCCAACTCCTGCCCCTCTCCCTTTCTGTCCCAAGTGTAGCAGGCAAGAAATTTGGAAATAGCACTTAAAAGTTGCCATTATCCAGACAGATTATTTAACAGTTGAATCTTTTTGTGTTAATTCTCTCTCATTCACCTGTTTTCGGTTGTGTATTTAGTTGAGAAATATCAGTAATGCTTTAAAAAAATATATATTATTACTGCAGTCAGAGAATACCTCATCCCACAAAGGTTCCACCTGGAACTGTGTCCAAATTGATTAAGAAATAAGGGGGAAATCTTTCTGTGGGACACCAAATGTGGCAACTCTGCTCAGCTTCAGATTCAAAGCTCTATGGTTGTAATAGTTACTGTGTAGAAGCTATCTGCAATTCACTGTGTGAGTTTGTGTTAAAGGAATAGCACGTGAGATTTATTTTTTTGTTTGTTTTCCGTGAGCATAAAAGCATTACTTTTCTCTACAGTGCCATACCAAATTTAACATTTATTTTAATCTGTTATCTGCTTATTCCCATTTTATTTTTGTTACAGGTAACCAAAGAAATACGTAGAAAACCAAAAACCCTGTAGTTTATTTTGCCCTTTTTGAGTACCTTTTTTTTTTTTTTCTTCTTGAAGAACTGGCCAAAAGACAACAAACCAGGAGTTTGAATTCTTATTATTGTATTCATATAACTATTGTGTTGAAATTATACATGACTTACAGTGCTGACCATTCCAAAAACCAAAGTGTGTAAAGCAAACTAGAATTTGGAGACATCAAAGCTTTTACATGATAAGTGGTTACGAATGACTCACATTAGGTATGAGGCCAAAAAACTAGTATTAACAAACCTCGCACAGTTCCTCTGAAAAACAAAAAGAAAGAGAAAAGAAAAAAGCACTTAGAGGTGAAACTCTCCCACACTCAGGCTAAACTGTGTTCCAAACACAATCCTAGGACTGGCCCTACTACTGTACGAGCAGACCTAAAGACGAGGCACTCGTGAGGCATTTGGACACGTGTACCTTTACAATCTGAGATGCCAACAAAAAGAGAGGTTAAACAGAATGAAAACATTCGGCTCTGTTGAAACACCTGGCTTTACAAGATATTTTCTGGTGCTGTTGTAACAAAAAAAATGTTCACTCTATAGGAAACAAACATGCCCTCTTGATGTGTGTGTAGTATTTACAGGAAGAGGAAGTCTACTGTAATGTGGTTACAAAAGTCACATCTTTGAACAGGGAGCAGTAAATCCAAATATCTATGAATATTACAACAAAGAGGGAACAACTAAAAACAGTGAAAATATACCAATGTAAGAGGAAAAACAACCAAGGGACATCATGTAATTCACAGTTGGGTTCATATTTTCATACTTTTTGTCAAACTATCTCTTGCACTTCAGACAAGTTTTCTTATTTAATGAAAGAACCTTTCTGATGACTTTGTGTTCAAACAGGACTGTTTCCTGTCACATTAGAGACTGATTTCTAACAAAGTACAAAGTGGCAGACTGACATCTTGAAACGAGATAAAAACCAAAAATAACACTACCTCCTTTTCGAAACAGTTCAACACATAGCCAATGGGAGACTGAACTCTCTTAAATACTTTTTTTTCCTCCATTCTTCCTCGATGATAATAATGGATGCCAAAATTGTGTTACACTTACTGTATGACTGACGAACAACAAAAAAAAACAAAAAAAAAAAAGCTATTTGGTGATCCGGACTCCCCAACACATCTGCTTGAGCCCAAAAACATAGAGACGTTTCACTTTCCATGGATTTAAAAATGACTACCTCTCCTTAAACCACATCTAAAGCACTCTCTATGTCTTGAAGTGTGTTGTGAAGTGCTCGCTATATATGAGAAGTTTTCTATCAGCTGTGTAAAACTGACCATATTCCTGCAACCGATTAGCACTGAGCTATGTGAACAGCCTCTCAACTGTGTGCGTTGACTGTACGTGTGCATATTAATGATCTCAGCCAATGAGAAACTGGTCGTTAATGGCTATGTGGTGTTGCAGGGAGCTGGTTGTCAGGGGTAATGATGGGCAGAATATATCAGTGCCACCAGGACACACATATACACACGCACACACGCACACACACACACACACACACACACACACATACACACGCACACACACACATTCCTCTCTGCACCTGGTACATGGAAGCAGGGCTATGGGTTAGTGCAAACAGAGGCTCTGACCATCCAGATATCCAAAGACCCACAACACAGCAGTACCCCCTTCACCAAAACACTCACAGAGACGCTGAGAAGAGCAACACACACTTAATGAAACTCATCACTACTACTAGTAATATCCAAACCAAGAGGAACTGCTGCATACAGTACATAGATGATCTCTGACTTGTGCTTTAAGGTACACCTGTAAACAAAGCTGTTTTATAAAGATGTAGATTGTTCACAGGTCGCCATGTAACACTTCTGTTTTTTCTCCAGCTTGGCATAACATGATGTATTCTTGTATATTAATGCTTGACTTATCTCTCCAGGGCATTCTTTCCCATTTTGTCCTTTGATTTTTCTCTTCTTTTTTGGGGTTTGTTTTTTTTTTTTTTTTTTTTTCCTCTCTGCACCTGTTTAGCTATTGTAAAGCTTTCAGCTCTGATTCCTATACTGTACTGCTAATGCTGAAGTATATGTATTTATCATATTAAGTGCTGCAGGTATCTTGGTTTAATAGTTTTGTTTTTGTTTTGTTTGTTTCCATTTTTTCAGTTCTTCATAAAACGTCTGGGACGCTGATTTTTTAAGTGTATTATCTCTAAAAAAAAATTAAAAGAATAAAAGTTAGATCAGTGGTTTAGGTAACACCTGTTTGTATATTTATCTTAGCTAGGTCTATTTTGATACTTTTTTGTCTCTGTACTGCATTTATGCATTTTTAAGGAAAGAAAAAAAACAAATGGAAAACAAACTAAAAAGTTACTTCATTATGTATTGATACCTCAGAAGGACTTTTTCTCAAAGACAGGACCAAAACCTCCAAAAAGAAAAAGAGAAAGAGGAAAAAATGTAAGAATATGTAGCCCCTCTCTTGCTTTAAAAAATGCAGAGCTCTAGAAAGGTATTACTGTTGGTCCTTTCAGGTGCCAATAAGTGTCCCAGCTCCCTGTGACCCCTCCTTCTGATCCCTGACCCCTGTCATTCCTGTGCTGAACTCCGACCCCCAGAGCTGTCAATCATCTGCAGGCGCCATGGGGGTGTCACTGAGTCACACACCTGGCTGGTGGTGACCAGTCACAGACCTCATCTCCCAGTCCCATAAAGGCAGATCAAAGACTGACACTGTTGCATTTTTGATACTCCTCCTCTTGCGTAGTCTCAATACCAAAATGTGGAACGGCTCTCAGAGATGCAGCTCATCCTCTGACTACCAAAGGCATTGCGAGCAAACATTGCTTAGTCCAAACTCCTGAACTCTAACCAAACTGTAACCAAACCAATGCCACAACCTTAACCAAACAAAAACCAA